TCCACGCTGGAGGCCATCGGCTACATCTGCCAGGACATTGTGAGTGCTGCCAGGGGAGGGGAGAGCGTGGGGAGGGGTCCTGGGAAGGGTCCTGGGAGGGGTCGGGGTTCCAGGGGTTGGGATTGTGGGCTTGGGTTGGGTTGGGTTTGTAGGGTTGGGTTTGGTTTGGGCTGGATCTGTTGGGTTGGGTTTGTTGGGTTGAATTGATTGGGGTTGGATTGGTTGAGTTGGGATTGTTGGGTTGGGTTTGTACGGTTGGGTTGGATTTGTTGGGTTGGGTTTGGGTTGCGTTGGATTTGTTGGGTTGAGCTTTTTGAGGTTGGGTTTGTTGGCGTTGGGTTGGGTTTGTTGGGCTGGATCTGTTGGGTTGGGTTTGTTGGGTTGGATTGGTTGGGTTGGGTTTGGTTTGGGTTTGATTTGTATGGTTGGGTTTGTAGGGTTGAGTTTGTTGGGTTTGGGTTTGTTGGGTTGGGTTTGGGTTGAGCTTTTTTGGGGTTTGGGTTGGGTTTGGGTTGAATTTGGTTAGGGTTTGATTTGTAGGGTTGGGTTTGTTGGGTTGGATTTGTTGGGTTGAGCTTTTCAGGGTTGGGTTTGGGTTGGTTTTGTAGGGTTGGATTGGTTTGGGTTGGGTTTGTACAGTTGGGTTTGGTTTGGGTTTGATTTGTATGGTTGGATTTGTTGGATTTGGTTTGTAGAGTTGGGTTTGTTGAGTTGGATTTGTTGGGTTGAGCTTTTCAGGGTTGGGTTGGATTTGTTGGGTTGGGATTGTAGGGTTGGGATTGTTGGGTTGGTACAGTCGGGTTTGGGTTGGGATTGTTCGGTTTGGTTTGGGTTGGGTTTGTAGGGTTGGATCTGTTGGGGTTGCATTGGTTGGATTGGGTTTATTGGGTTGGGTTTGGGTTGGGTTGGATTTGTAGGGTTGAGCTTTTCAGGGTTGGGTTTGTTGGGTTGGATTTTCCAGGCTTGGATTTATTGAGTTGCGTTTGTCGAGTTGGGTTTTGGGTTGAGCTTTCTGAGGTTGGATTTTTCAGGGTTGGATTTTTCAGAGTTGGATTTGTNCCCCGATTTGTTCCCCTTTTCCCAGATTTGTTCCCCTTTTCCACAGGACCCATCCCGTTCAGGGAGGGAATTCCCAGCCTCTCTCTGCCCATCCCCGTTTACCCGTTGGGAATTGGAACAAACGCACAGATTTACAGGGAAATAGGGCGGATTTGGGGCCGGGGCTGATTTCCCTTTCCCCTTTCCCTGTCCCCCCCAGGTGCTGCAGACCCTGGGCACAGAGACGTACCGGCCCAGCTCGGCGTCGCAGTGCGTGGCCGGCATCGCCTGCGCCGAGATCCCCATGAACCAATGGCCCGAGCTGATCCCGCAGCTGGTGGCCAACGTCACCAACCAGCACAGCACCGAGCACATGAAGGAGTCCACGCTGGAGGCCATCGGCTACATCTGCCAGGACATTGTGAGTGCTGCCAGGGGAGGGGAGAGCGTGGGGAGGGGTCCTGGGAGGGGTCGGAGCTCCAGGGGTTGGGATTATGGGGTTGGGTTGGATTGAGTTTGTTGCGTTTGGGTTTGTGGGTTGGGTTTGGGTTGGGTTTGATTTGTATGGTTGGGTTTGTAGGGTTGAGCTTTTCAGGGTTGGGTTTGTTGGGTTGGGTTGGATTTGTAGGGTTGGGTTTGTTGGGTTGGGTTGGATTTGTAGGGTTAGGTTTGTAGGGTTGGGTTTGGTTTGGGTTTGATTTGTATGGTTGGGTTGGTTGGGTTGGATTTGTTGGGTTGGGATTGTTGGGTTGGGATTGTTGAGTTGGGTTTCTTGGGTTGGGTTTGGGTTGCATTGGATTGTTGGGTTGAGCTTTTCAGGGTTGGGTTTGCTGGGTTGGGTTTGTAGGGTTGGGGTTGGGTTTGTTGGGTTGGGTTTGGGTTGGGTTTGTTGGGCTGGATCTGTTGGGTTGGATTTGTAGGGTTCGGTTTGTAGGGTTGAGTTTGTATGGTTGGGTTTGGGTTGGGATTGTTGGGTTGGGTTTGGATTGGGTTTCTTGGGTTGAATTGGTTGGGGTTGGATTGGTTGGGTTGGGTTGGATTTCTTGGGTTGGATTGGTAGGGTTGGGTTTGTAGAGCTGGGTTTTGGGTTGAGCTTTTTTGGGGTTAGGTTTGTTGGGTTGGATTGGTTGGGTTTGCATTGGTTGGGTTGAGTTTGTTGGGTTGGTTGGGTTGGATTTGTTGGGGTTGGGTTTGGGTTGGGTTGGATTTGTTGGGGTTGGGTTGGGTTTGTTGGGGTTGCATTTTCCAAGGTTGGATTTATTGAGTTGCGTTTGTCGAGTTGGGTTTTGGGTTGAGCTTTCTGAGGTTGGATTTTTCAGGGTTGGATTTTTCAGAGTTGGATTTGTCGGGTTGACTTTTGAGTTGGATTTTTCACGGTTGGGTCTTGTTGAGTTGGATTTCAAGTTGGATTCTTTGGGGTTGGATTTTTGTTGGATTTTTGGCTCGGTTTTTGAGTTGGATTTTGGGGTTGGATTTTGGGGTTGGATTTTGGG